TCTGGTTCTGGGCCGGGCCCATATCAGTTCTGGGTCTGATCGGAGTCTCTGGTCCCGTCTCATTGGTCGATCAGGGCCATGCGGCGGCTGGAAGCTGCACGCGCTCAGAAGGACGTGAGCGACTCCACCAAAACAGTCCGACAACAGGAGCTGCACAAGAGCCTGAGGGTGAGACGCACAACACAGACACACAACACACAACGACACACAGACACACAACACACAGACACACAACACACAGACGCACAATGACACACAGACACACAACACACAGACACACAACACACAGACACACAGACACACAACACACAGACACACAACACACAGACACACAGACACACAACACACAGACACACAACGACAACACAGACACACAATGACACACAGACACACAATGACAGCACAATAGTTTGGGTCTGCCCCGGCTTCAGAACCGGCTTTAGAACCGGCTTTAGAACCGGCTTCAGAACCGGCTTCAGAACCGGCTTCAGAACCGGCTTTAGAACCGGCCTTAGAACCGGCTTTAGAACCGGCTTTAGAACCGGCCTTATTCTGTGTGTCATTCTGCATAAAACTAAACATCTGAGTTGGACTTTCATAACCTAAAAGATAATTAGGTTATGTTAACAGCTGTGGTGGAGTTCCTCTGGAAAGGGAAACAGATGTTTCATATCATACAATAACAGAAGGTATAAAAAATATATTTGTTTTTGCACTAAAAACATCTGCTTATTGGAACCAAATTGGCTTTTTGTTGGAAGACTCCAAAATGGGGCCCAGATCAGAGGAAGGCTGATGGACTAGCCTACCGTGGCCTGGTTCTGATCCACGACGGGTTCTAAAATACCAACGTTCTCTTGTTCTTTAGAACCTGAACAACTTCTGCAGTCAGATCGGTGACGATCGACCAATCAGCTTCTGCAACTTCAGCCCGGATTCCAAGATGCTGGCCACGGCTTCCTGGTAACAAGCCCCTCCCACTAACGCTGTTAGCATTAGCCGCTGTTAGCATTAGGCGCTCATGCTAACGCGCTAACCCTCAGGAGCGGGCTGTGTAAGCTGTGGTCCGTCCCCGACTGCAGCCTGGTCCGGACGCTCAGAGGTGGGTCAGCTCCTATTGGCCAGAGCAGCCCCCCCCCCCCCCCCCTTACAGGTGGCTCTAAACTGTCCCCTGTCTCTGATTGGCTGAAGGGCACAACACAAACGTGGGAGCCATCGTGTTCCGCCCTCAGGCCGGCGTGTCTCTGGACCAATCGGACGTCAGCTTAGCGTCATGTGCTGCCGACGG